ACTTTTTAAGATTTTGGTAGAGAAGCCAACAAAAGTAGTGTTTGCTCTTTGTCTTTGATATCTCCCCCCTACATTCACGATTCTATATACTAGCTCGTTAAATTTGTTAATATGGTCAAATACATATCTTCATATTCCATCTTCAATAAGTATGATCAAATATGGTTTCTAACAAATTCCACAAATTCTTTGGAGAGGTTTCTTTCAACATAATCACTTTAATATATGGAGAAAGTGCCCAACCGAATATATTCACAGTCTTTTTTTGTATTTTATTCCAATCTGATTCTTTCATCTCACTCGATCGGTTTTTCCTTTTCCAAATAAAGACCTTGTGAGACTAAATAGTCTTGTATCATGCATTACCACAAAGATAAATTCATTCTCCCATCAAACAACGGAACATCCAACTTCAATGTAGTCATAATACTATTTAAGAAGAAAAAAAAACTCAAATCAAAGAAGATGATATCAAACCTACGATTTCTTCCCTTAATCCGAATATGTGCTATGATGACAGTTATTGGTAATGTAACTAAAGAAAATCTCAACTAAATTGAATGCAAATAAAAAAAAAAAACTCACAGTAAAATTGCAAATCCTCTCAATATTTTTTTTGATTGGATACCATTAGTGTGAAGGGAAATCATGATCTAAAACACATCAGAAATTAAAATTTTCCCTTTAGTGATCCTTACAAATGGGCATGATTATTGATAGAAATGGTTACATCTTGTGACGATAAAAACTTTGATGTTGAATCAAAGGAGTGATCACAAGCGTTGAATGATGAACAACACCTCTACGCAGTCCACACGAACAGATTCCTTCAGTCTCTGTGGTAATTGCTACAATTGAAGGCTTTAAGTGAGAGGTAGAAGTAAAATATAGCTAGGGTTTCACATTCCAAATTTTCATCAAGAGTGTATGCTTCTGCATAAGGGTTCTATTATAGAACCACTTGTGTGGGCTGCAAGCTAAAAATCTCACTTAAGTGCATGTGCACCATATCTTATGGTGTACCATATATCACTTAAGTGCGTGGTACCTTACCATATTCTATATTCTACTTAAATTTACCGTACTTTACGGTGTTCTACATTTACTTGAGTGCACTATACCTTACGGTGTTCCTTATTTACTCTACCTCTTATCACTATGTTCTTATGTGTGTGATCCTTTAGGTTTTTGCGACGTTGGCAATTATATTAGATCACACATTTAACATAATAAATAGTGAGCGGTATCTAGCAACACATTACTGCTACCTAAGTCACGAAAATTTCATGTGATCTGACAAAACCTTTTGTGATAATACATATGTGTGCAATTACCCTTTTGTCCTTATGTCTATATTGAACACAAGACATATACTGTGTCATCCTTGTCCAGTTCAATATTGGATCCTTAGACATTTATCCTGTTATAGAGGATGAGCAAATTCCATCTAGGTCACTCATGTACCTCAACATACTTTGTGGAGTACTCATCAATTGTCTTTATGGCCATCCCGTTATGGATAATCTTTGATCAGCAATAAAATACTCGAGTCTACATCTAGGATCCATAGTTGTTTCAGGTCAAAGGATGGTATACACCAGTATCACCATAAGAGTAACTTATGACACTTTGCATAACATTCTATGTAGCACTCTCATAGCGGGTCAATCCAGTATAAATATTACTCCTAATATTCATACCTATGTTAAGACTTGATAACTCCTTATCCATGATCCATGAGACGTGATCATCAATCTATCTACATAATAATCTTAATGCTTTAAGATTATCCCACTTCACAGTAAAGCTCGACTACAAATACTTTAAGAATAATATCCTTATGTTTAACAGAATCTCATGATTAAGTCACACTTAATATTTCATTAAACAAACTAGCTATTCTAGGGACTTTATTATTTTGGAAAAGCAAACATAATAAATAAATGTCTTTTATTATTAATAAATAATTTGATACAACTACCAAAAGTATTGACCTCTAAGGCTTACACCAACATGATAAACACACAATTCATTATAAGGACCTTCCAGACTTCAAATACCAACATGACCTTGTTAAGAATGTTTTTTATTTATTTATATATTTTATTGAGCGAGAGTATCGGTGAAGAAAGAGGCACGTGAGAATTTCTTAATTGAGCACTAGAAGAAAAGATCGACAATTAGACCAACAAATATTTTGATGTATATATAGATAGAAGAGAAACATGCACGCATGGATTTGACAAGGGCTTCCTCACTTATGGGACTAAGGACTGATAAATTTATTATGGAATAATTAACCCTCAAAATCTCTTTAAGTTAAATGCTCAAATATAAAAAAACATATGTTCTAACAAGTAACATGTTTTTATACGATTTGTATTTGACACTTTTAACTAGAAATGGCAAAGTGGGTAGTCCGCCCCGTTTAAACCCGTCCAAAAGCGGGGCAGGGCGAACCAACTTAGGCGTCTGAGCTCAAAAGCTAAGTCCAACCCGCTAATTTTTTATTTTACAAATTAATTTACTACATAATTTACAAAAAAATTATTTATTACCAAAGAGGTCGACAAAAGATTTTTTTAAGAATGTATAATAGAACTTCAACATGTCTTAAGTCCAAACAATTAAAAAAATAAAATAAATAAAAACCAATTACAACAAAAAAATAACGAAATAAACTTAAGTACAATAAAAAAAACGTATCAAAATAAATAAATAAATAAATAATACATGTCATCCTAATCCTATTTAAAAATTAACTACTAAAATAAACCAATTAAGAATTTACAAAAGACAAACAATAATAACAATTACATTGCATAAAACATCACAATGCATAAAATAGTAGTGTAGAAAATATCAAAATTTGATTTTCTCACTGTTTACATCATATAGACTCTTATATTGACTGATTCCTTAATAGTTAAATCTTAAATTTGTCACAAGTATACAGTAATCAAATCCTTCCTTTTATTAAAATCAACATCCATTTCTAAATAAAATATGTGAGTTAATGTTTGACAACTTAATAATTCAGCATGATTTACAATTGTTCTTTTATTTTAATTTTTTTCAATCAACACATGTATTAGAAAGTTATAGAAAGAACGTTACAATTATAATTTATTTTGTTTGTATAATAATTTATAATACAATTTAATCAACATAAACCTAAGAGAAAAGTGTTGTTTTTATAGTTAAAGTTGTTTTAATTCTAAGTAAAAAATAACTTTTTTAAACAAGAAGCCCATGGGCAAAATCCGTCCCGTCCCGCTTTTTCAAGCGGATTGTGCGGGACGGATCAACTTAAAGTATCGAGCTGAAAACCTCAGTCGAGTCCGCCAAAAATGGCGGGTCAAACTGATCATAATTAAGTTATTATAAAATAATGTGTATGTTTGTTTGATGGATTAAAATTATAATTTCAGAAATGTCATTCATAGAAATATTATTATCAAGAATTTTATTCGCATCAATGTGTTTGACAAATAAAAAAGTTTTTGAAAATATTTTTAAACTTTATTTTAATTAAAATTTAAAAATCTAAAAATAAATGTGTTAAAATAGCATGAAAATGAAAAATTAAAATAGATTATTTTATATTCTCAATGTAAGATTCCCATATTTTAATATGGAAATAAAAATGAAAAATTCATAAACAAAATATATTTCTGAACATAAATATAAATATTTAAAATTTAAAACAAACAAAAAGTATGTAAATTTCAAGATTTCATTTGTATCCATGGAACAACATCCTAAATGAATTGTATACGGTATTTTTCAAAATTTTCAAAATCTATTAAAAATAAACTCAATTCATTAAACTAATATTTGTCAATTAAGGTAAGTGAGTGCGAGTTGTTGATCTATGTTTAATTTTTAATAGTAGTATTTTTATTGTATTTTTTCATAATGTGCAAATAAGTTATTTATATTTATAATTCCAAATGTTTTTTACAATTAAACTGAACTTGTTATTTTTTCTTCCAAAACACACATTTAATGAAAACAAGTTACAATGTGATTAATTGTTTTATTATTTTTTTTATATTTAATAAAAAAATTTTCATTTATATTTTTTCTATTGAAAAAATAAATATTTCTTTACAATAAAATTTAATATTTATTTTCTTTCTTAAGAAAATATTACAAGATAGAGTAAGTACTTGTATTATTCTGACATATCCAACTTTATAGAAATACTAATTTGTTATTTGATTTTTTTTTTCTTATAGATGATTTTGATGTTTTCTATTTCCTATCTAGGGTTAATAAGAAAAAATTTTCAAATTGAAAATTAATATGTATAATATTTTTTTTATTATTATAAAATTAATTACTATACACTGATAGCGTAAAAAGTTTTACAGGGTCAACTCATTACCATCATTCGTTTTCATTATTTTACGAATAGTTAAACTAAAAGTCAAACTCTTTTTAACATCTAAAATCTCTAATTAAGTATTTGTGTAAAATATTTTTATACTGACAATGACAATATATTTCAATTAAATTTTATTATTATTATTATCGTGGTTGTTTGTTACAATAAATATTATTTCCTATTTAAGTTATATAAGAAATAAATAATATAATAACTCTAAACATTTTGCCCTATATACTCTTCCATTACTTAAATTTAAAGAAAAATTCCTAAATAGAATTAATTTAGATAAAAGTGGTCCTAGTTATCATATAATTAAAATTAAATAGTATTTCTTTGTTAACTCATATTAACATATAGTTATACAAAGGCATCTTATTGCACTAATCGTGAATTCGAATTCGAAACATTCAAGAAACGTGAAATGAAAGATGCTTCATACCATATTGCCTTTATTTATGATTTTTTTTGGGTACCCGAACTATCAATATTAAACCACATAGTATATCATTTTATTGAAGAACAATAACATGAAAAGCCTAGAGTGGTAAATTTTATTGAAGAAAATAAATATTTATTAAGAGCTACATTTTATTGTAGCTACCTATTATCATTCCCCTAGAACTTCTTCACTGGATTCAAGAAAGGAATTGAAAGAATGAAGATTGTTGGACACATTAGTTTCATCACCAAAGTTACATTGTGCCCAGTTCTTCAAAATCTCATCAGAAAATATTTGAGTCTGATCTGAACACGGCGACGACAACAGATCATTATAATCGAAACTGCACGTAGTCGAGAAATCCGAGTTCAAAAATTCAGATAAGCACATATCATCTCCAATATTAAAATCAACTAACAAATCTGCAGACAGTTCTTTCTCTTTATCAAAAAAGACAAAAAAGCGTTCTCGTTGACATTGCTACTCGTCGAATCACTCGCCACAACATCGACATCCGTTGACGGTTTTGTTTCTGTTGCTGTTGTTGTCTCTGTCTTTGTCTCGGTCTCGTCTTCGTTCTTCAAAGTATGCATTGGTGATGAATGAGGAAGTGAGTTTATGAACAATACCTTAGAACATTTTGTAGCTTTTGTTCGGACAACATGGGAGTTTTACATCATTGGCATAAGATTGTTCTATTTCTGTGCGATCTTTGAGTTTTTCGGTTTAGCAGAGATCATCATAGTAGAAGAAGAATGGTTGGTGTTTTGTTGAGTCAAATCTTTCTTTTTTTTCTTCCTAAATTCGTGTTCCAATAATTCTTAATTTCATTGTCTGTTCGTCCCGGTAATCGTCCCGCTATAAGAGACCATCTGCCACACATCATAAATAAAGAAAGTTAGTGCACATTATTAACTTAATAATTGATATATTTTATCTGATGTATCTCAGATCAGATACTTCAATTTTATTTATATATAAGACGAAGAGAGTATGTTAATATGCTTTACCTGTTTCCGAGTAATTTGTGAAGTCTAATAATAAGTTCTTCTTCGTCGGAAGATATATTACCTCTTTTGATATCCGGTCTAAGATAATTCAACCATCTAATTCGACAACTTTTTTCGCATCTTTTCAAACCTGCATGAAAAAATAATTAAAAAAAAAAGAAACATTACAAAAGTGTATGAATCAACAAAAACATGAAAGAGAAAGAACCTGCTCTTTTGGGAAGGTTTATCCATTTTCCTTCACCATGAAGCTTAATGTAATCAATGAGGATTTTGTCTTCAAGAGCAGTCCAAACCCCTCTGTTCAAGCCTTCCTTTGAAAAACAAGGACTTCTTCCCATCGATGGTGTTCTTAATTAGGCTGTCTTGTCTTGGATTCCTACCTCACTCCCTGGATTGAAGTATTTGGATGTAGACATAATTAAATAACTTTGCAAGAGTAATTGGTAACCATCTATATATATACACATGTGCCAATATATAGAGCCTTTGGGTTGTTGCATAAAAAAATTGGGATCATTTATGTCATGTCATGGAACACTTATGGAATTGGACATGGCTTGTTTTTTTCCTTAATAGATTCCATATATTTACTAATGTTAAATATAATTTTAATAAAAATTTAGACTAATTTTTTCTACTAAACTCGATATATTTGCTTGGAGAGTTATTTATTGTGTACAGTAAAAAATTGTTCACTTCTAACAAATAAATTCGAAAGGTCAAACTAAGACTCGAATTCAACCTAATTAGATTTTTAATTGATAAGTTTATTGATCTAATATTTTTTTTTGTTAATATTTGAATATTCTCTCTGTCGCAACTGCGAAAACACCTGGCGGAAAAACAGAAGAGTCGCCACTGTTCGTTATTTATCCCAAAGCGAGGGAAAGGAAACAATTAGAGAAAACCTGATGAAAAGGGAAAAGACAAGGTCATCACAACCAAATCTTGGGTTCGAGAGCCGGTTACGTAAGGGGAAGGCATTAGCACCCCTCACGTCCGTCGTGCTCGACGGGATCCACGCTTGTTGTCTAATCAAAGGGTGTGTTTATCTATCTAAGCTAAAGGCTCACAGGACAAAAGAAAAGGAAAGAGACTCGATAGAGCATCACCGCTCTATGCCTACGTATTCCCTCATGCAATGGGAAAGTCAGAGTCAACGTAGTTCGGAAAACTACGGGTGAAGGTGGGGAAAGGTTGCTCGCCAAGACATCACCGTCTTGTGCCTACGTATCCTCATCTGGTACGAGAAATCAGAGAAAATGTAGTTTGAGCTGACACGAAACCACTGGTTGATTAAATGTTTTAATCGAGTAGGATTAAACCTTCATTCCAGCAGTTAGGGACAATGCCTGTTTGCGGTAGAACCAAAGCTTAACAACACTCTTTTTGAAAATGAATTTTAATTAACCCCGAAGGAAAAAGTTTGATGTTTTGTTTGTGTTTTTTAGTGAAATGAATTAGTTTGATTTGTGATTCACGTTGCACTAAAGACTATGACTTGAGAACGAACGCGTCGCATATCGCCAACAAACGGGACGTACACTAAACACTCTAGACAAGCGAGAGGAGACCCCTCACTCATCATTTCCCATGTGCTTAAGGCTCGTAGCGCGCGAACTCTAAGGGGAAACTAATCGACCCTAATGTTAGCATGCAAAGTGGACCTAAAGTTGGGATTGAAAGAGGAAATTCTACCCTAATGTTAGCATGCTTGGATTGAACACCTAATGTCTCTCCTACTCCCATCCTAAGCGGAGGGACTAGGAATCCTAAGGGATCATGACAAAGGAACCAAGAAAACACAAGATAAATCAATCACAAGTAGAAAGAAATGAAATAGATGCCAACATGAAATGCAAACACAAAGGATGCAAAGAAGAGTGGGAGGAAAAAGTGTGGGACAACAGCCACCACAAGCACATTTCAACCAAGCAATGCAAGCAAAGGCAACAATGCAAATGATCATCACTTTGAACCACATCCATAAGTATGCATTCAAGTAGAAATCGAACACGCGTGTCAAAGAAATCATGATTAAACAATCAAGAACAACAACACAATATCCAAAAAATTTCACTTCTAATGCACCATACTGATCCATGAAGATTTGAAGTGAAATGATTCTAAAACAACCTTGAAAAACAGCAAAATAGGCCTGCTGGCACAGTGTTAATCGATTAACACCAGGGGTTAATCGATTAACCATTGAAAAATGTTTGAAAATTTGAATATTCGCACTGGTTAATCGATTAACTAGTTTGCACTGCAACTGGTTAATCGATTAACACTGTACCAGCAGTAGAAAACAGCAGCTCAAAAGCACTTTTCAGCAATTAATCACTTCTCTAATAATCCAGATGATCATATAATCAATTATGCACGAAATTAAAGCAAAAAATAATTATCCAATCAACATGTAAACACATTAAAACAGCAAGATCATAAATCACATGGATCAAATCAACCAAAAGTCAACCAAAAATGAAGATCCACATTGAATATGTAAAATAAGCTCAAAATAGCATCAGATCTAGAATTCCAACCTACAAAGCAAAGATTTGCTTTGGTAATTGTTGATTCAACTCCTATTGAGCAGGTCCAAGCAAGAAATCCGGAATTCCTTCAAGATCCAAGTAATTTCTTGTTGTAGAAGTGAAGATCAACCAAAATTAAGCAAGAATTATCCAAATAAGCTCCTCTAGATCAACTTCAAAATTCAGATCCAAACTAGCACGAAAATTGAATGGAGAATTGGAGATGATGAGGATGAAGGATGAAGGTTTTAGCTCAAGAATTCAATGATTCCAATGGAGAATCAAAGAATTCAAGGTGAGAAGAGCTTTAGTAAAGTTTGGAGTGAAAACGTTGAGAGAAAATTGAGAGAATTGGTAGTGAATTCTGAAATGAGAATGAAATTATGAGGATTGTCTGTGAGGTTTGGAGCAAATCATTTAAATATGCTCTTGGTTTGGACCCAAATATGGTTTGGAGTGTGGTTTGTGAAAATTGGTTTGGGATTAGGAATGGGAATTTGGAGGGAATGTGAATTAATTTGAAAGTTAACCAAAATTCAAAATGGTTCTAGATCCTTCTTCTGGTGTAAAATCAAATTCACAAGTGATCAAAATGGACCCTAAAATGGCTGCCTCTTGAAAATTCACGTGCAGAGCTGAAATTGCCTTGGTTAATCGGTTAACCATATGGGTTAATCGATTAACACCTTTAAAAATTCAAATTTGACCTGATTTTGACTTGGTTAATCGGTTAATCGATTAACACCTTTAAAATTTGAATTTTGGCGCCTTTTGGAGGGAAACCTGCACATTTGTCCGTTTTCACTCGTCCTAAACCCTGTTCAGCCTCTGAACCTTGCCCTTGAACACTACAACCATGAGAATGCTTGAGATAGCCTGAATGCTGCATACTGAGCTGAAAATAACCTGTAAAAAAAATAAAATCGATCGCTCGGTCGTCGGGAAAAATAAATGCTGGAGCTTCTAATGCTCGCTGTTTAGTTCCTTGCACTAAAAGAGCCCTGAGTCGTAGAAAAACCTTTATTCCATGCCTCAAGAACAAATGCTATGATATGCAGAAATGAGAAAATGCAAAGAAACAAAAGCCAGTCCAGGTTAAAACAGAAGGGCAAATTTTGGGGTGCTACAACTGCCCCTATTCAATAGACTTGGACATAAAGGGATGAAAAGCATCAGCTTTTAAACATTCAAGGTAAAAGGCGATTGAATATTAAAAGAACCCAGAAATTTGCAACCTATGGGGATGCACAATAGCGAATACCAACCAAAAGTTGGAATACGACACGCTGAGGATAACAATCCCATATGAAACATCAACCAAATGATACCAACCGAAAGTTGGGATAACAAACCAAGGATACCAACCAAGAGTTGGGATAACACGAGAATCCAGAACCTGTAGGACGTACCATCAGACTGACGACCTTAGGGCCAGAAAAACTTCGCTGGGGAAAAGAAAGAATCTTACACCAGACTGCCCTGTGGGGCCTAAGCGTCTACCCAATAACAGTCGCAGGATACCATCCGAAAGATGGGATGACTAGCAAATGAATACCAACCAAAAGTTGGAATAAAGGTCAGAGAAAGCCAACCAAGAGTTGGGAACACAACCAAAGATACCAACCAAGAGTTGGAATATCGACTTCGCCGAGGAACAAAAGAAGAAAATACCTAAACAGTCTTGTGGTGACTTCACTAGGGAAAGAATGAACTAACCAGACAACTCTGCACATCCACCAAAAGATAATAATCAAAGAATACCATCCAAGAGATGGGATAAGGGTTACTCTCTGGGAAAAGCTACCAACCAAAAGTTGGAATCACCACAACATTGCCCGAAAGGGAAATGGCGGGGCTACTTCGCTAGGGACCACACTGACCACAAGTCAATATGCAACAAAAGGTAATGAACACAAGCTACCAACCAAAAGTTAGAATCACTACAACACTGCCCGAAAGGGAAATGGTAGGGCTACTTCGCTAGGGACCACACTGACCAAAAGTCAGAATGCCACAAAAGGTAATGAACACAAACTACCAACCAAAAGTCAGAATCTCTATAATACCGAACAACGTTGAACCCAAACTATCAACCAAAAGTTGAAAACATCCGATGAAACACAACGACCACAAGCTACCAACCAAAAGTTGGAATCACTTTCAACAAAATCTCACCAACTAAAAGTTGGAATCAGCCAAAGCTACCACCCAAAAGTTGGAATGACGAATCCGTCGGGGAATAGAGGAGGACTACCAACCAAAAGTTGGGATAAATAGACCACCACCAAAGGATTACCAACCAAAAGTCGGAATAACAAAATCCAAGAAAGGAAGACTGCCAACCAAAAGTTGGAATAATGTCAATAAAGCTTTGGACCCAGCTGGGAACTACCAACCAAAAGTTAGGATGACGTCCAACAAGATACAAACTACCAACCAAAAGTTGGGATAACATCCAACAAGCAAAAGACTACCAACCAAAAGTTGGGATAACGTCCAACAAACGACAGACTACCAACCAAAAGTTGGGATAACGACTGCAGGGGATAAAATCCAACCAAAAATTGGGAAACAAGGCTACTAACCAAAAGTTAGGATCGCCATAAAAAGATCATCATCGACCAAAAGTCGGAACATAGGATACTAACCAAAAGTTAGGATCACCAGGAAACATCAACATCGACCAAAAGTCAGAACACATGCTACTAACCAAAAGTTAGGATCACCAGGAAAGATTAACATCGACCAAAAGTTGGAACAAAAGCTACTAACCAAAATTCAGGATTGCTAGGAAAGATCAA